TTGGAACACAACGACGCTTCAAACTCCAGATGAGATATGATGTAGTTGAAATACAAAAACCCAGAAACATGCATAGGGAGAGTAAAAATAGGCCAACAAGTGAATAATTATCTGTGTCTATATTCACCACCATAGTATCAGCCATGAATATCTCCGGTGGGGGATTGTTGTTGAACTTCTTCAAATAGATATATCATATAAGATTTTCAGCAGTGACAAGTAGGAAACCGACCTCCGAGCACAATAGCCGATTTTCATCTTTCGTGATCATTAACGTACTCAAGTGAATCCAAATCACAACTGAGAAATGGAAGATTGAATAGACTACGAAACGAACGATAATCTGTCTCTTCCGTTGCTCTGTCAGATTGACTGAAACGGCAATGGCTCTAAGAAGACATATGAATGTGATAAACCAAGCTGTCACTGCAAAACATGATCAAGAAGAATCAAACGAAAGAACGTTTACTTGCAATCAGACATATTTGAATGAGCAGTTGCAAATGGACACTCAATCCGAGATGAAGTAAGATGCCGTTAGGATAGAGAGCGAAACAGGGCATGAAAAAAGTGGGAGTTAAACCAATCGTGAAAAATATCTGAGCGGAACATATCCTGAAACATTTTCATATGAGATATACTGGCTCTCGCCAAATGCCTATCTCCTACGCGATTCCATTCCCGATTAGGGCAAAGCGAAACAAAGCACTCAGCTTGGTAGAGACGAACACCGTCATATATATCAAAAGCGTAAATGTACAAACACCCAAAATAGACAAGCAATACAGCGAAGTAACGTAAAGATCCATCTTACGGGACAAACACCGGTGAAATACACCGGTGAAACTTGTTGGCACAACATTCGTATTGTTACAAATGAGCAAGATCAAAAGGGGCTACATCATCATGGTTACAAATATTGCAGGGAAAAAGCTCAGAAATTGGAATATTTTATACAATACGTTGCCTGGCTGATTTGTGATTCTCTTGACAGTTTGTAACTGTTTGTCGGTACAACATTCGCATTGTTACAATTCAGCTTGATCAAAGGAGGCTACATCCTCATGGTTACGAATATTGTAGGCAAACCATGCATCATGGTAAGATACTTACAATCATGCTTGGGACACTACTCACCCACCACATAATCACTATGATAAGAACAGAATATTCAATTCGAGCAAGGGGTA